TACGTAGTACGTACGTACGTACGTACGTACTACTATATATATATATATATATATATATATATATATATATATATATATATATATATATATATATATATATATATATATATATTAGACAATCAACGGGCACGGGTGTTAACATTGACGGGAGCGTACACTTCATAATAGCAGGAGAACGCTACTACGCAATAGCAGTGCAAAACACAATGGTCGCACACTCACGCAAGATTTGAAGGGGACGGTATAAGCTCAGTCACGGGATAACTATGTTGCACACATGTACCAATGAAGTAGATTAGCAACACTGTCGGCGCCTATGGCTTTGAATGCACCAGTAAACCATATCCCTACAATAGCGACTATAGGACAGCACAGGTAGACATTGTCATGCATATAACCTAAACTCAATACCATATACAACGGCTTATAGGACTACGCAAGTAACTTTTGTCACTGCATATAACTGCACTGTAGCTGAATCATGTACCCGATATCTGAAGGCGTACCACTGGGGTGCGCAAACTCAGGCGCGAGTATACCTACACTAAAAGGAGCGTCTGCTGTGTATATTTCATATGTATATACAGAATAACCATATAATATGTATATATACATAGTAACTATAATATATATATATATACATAGTAACCATATACTTCATATATATATATACATAGTAACCATATAATGATATATATATACATAGTAACCATATACTTCATATATATATATATATATATATATAGTAACCATATATACATAATAACCATATGATTGGACGTGTGCACATTTGAACGAATGTCAAGCGCAGCAGGAACGTGTGTACTGAAACTCACTGATGTCAGTAGACATTGGGTGAGGTCCGATACGCTTATTCGTAGTGACTGGGTTTGGGGTCTAGTAGTCACACCACTCTAGTATCCACACACTACTTTGGTGTTAGTTCCTTCTCCTCTGAGAGATAGGGATTAGAAACGTCCATATCCGACAGCTAAAAATCATTGGCAATTTGATTGGTGTGCGTATAAAATAACATTACGATGAATTGACAATTTTATGGGTGTATGTATGAATATCCTTACAATTAACCCTGTGCGCATATATCAACAGATGCCTGAGCGCAGGCGAGTATGATACCGGAGCGAGCATCCCCAACGTGGCAGAGATGTCTGAATTCGACCGACGCCGCGCCAAAACCGAAGCACAAGCGAAGGTGCACACGCTGCAGCGACAATTGGAGAATGTAAGTCGTCTGCATAGCCCATGATATGTACTTATACAGTAACAATACTTATACTTATAATATAACTTCTACAATACTTCTACAATACTTATACTTATAATATATCTTACACAATACTTCTACAATACTTATACTTATACCTATATTTACAATATATATTCATACAATACTTATACTTGCACCTATATTTAAAATAGATGCTTATACAGTACTTATACTTATACTTGTAATATATACTTCTTGTAGACATGTAAGGAAATCACACTTGCATACGTGTACAAGACACGGAAAACGCAGGCACAACGACAGGCCTTACATACATGCGTGTACAGGATAAATTGCTTTCTGCCCATATCAGAGACACCGTGCACATGTTGTAATCAGCATGCATACCAAGTCGTGCCACGGATACTGTGAGAAGCATGCTCTGTGGTGCATTTTCAGGTACACGAACAGACCCGAGCACTAGTCGTAGTGCTAGTTCATGATACGCTCTATCGCCAGGCATACAGTAGGTGGTGGGTGTAATATACTTCAAACCACGACAACCGCGTGTGTCTGAGCCGGTGCTCCTGCCTGGTATTCTACTTTGCCCTACTATGATGTGTCATCTGATGACTCATCACAGTACACCTGTTTGGCACACATTTTTTGACACCTACATGCTGCTGTTATCACCCGCATTCTACTTGCCCTACTATGATGTGTCATCTGATGACTCACACATGCCGCTGTTATCACCCCTTTCCAACAGGCACAAAAGGTGCTGTACTCGCTGTCCAAGCGAAGGTATTCGAAAGACATTGGGTCCATAGAAACACCAACCACCTCCATGCTGGATATGACGGATATGCCTCTACCCCCACCGCCAGTAGAGGAAGAAGCCGACTTCGATGATCTCGAGGCGCGGTTGAATTCCCTGCGATCGTGAAGGATGTTGCATGCTTGTACACGTTGTGGTGCATGTGCTACCACGGACATATGGATGGTGAAATAAATATATATATATATGTTAATAGAAGCACTGGTTGGATGTGGACTATGATGACGTTTCCTGCGATTTGTAGAACCATATATGTATCTGTGCTAAAGAACTGCTGGTATGTTGATTGATGCGTATAAATAAGTCACTATAACTATTGAGAGACTCGCAAGTATCCTGGGTGAACATATATCTTACTGTGTGTGATAGTTGGGCTGAATACAAGATACCACTGTATGGTACGATTCCCATCCCAAGATGGCTAGATGATCGTCAAGCTCACAGGACCGAGCGTAGAGCACCAGTTTAGGTGAAGAAATACAGGTTATGTAAAGCCTCACGAAGGAGAGTGTATACTTGACAACATCGAAGCGTAAAAGAGTGTAAATACAGCGAATATCACTGAAGCAACACGAAAACAAATGTGCATATAAAGGGTTAAATTTAATGTACTGTATAAATGTAGACGACACTCGACAGCGGTGTATCAAGGCGAGGAGATGGACAGTATTTACGCGCAGTCGAGAGGGAGGGACGGTCATCTGAAGGGCTGGGGAGGAAGCGATTAAGAAGTATGACCATAGGCTATTAAGTAAAATAAGGCTATAGTATGGAAGTATGGGCCATAGCCTTCTAAGTACAACAAGGCTATGGTATGGCCAAATGGATTGAGCCAGGCACGTTCGCCTCAGGATCGGACCCCACACTACAACCAATTGTAGACAGCAGACCGAGCCATCTAACTTCAATCTAAGACTCTAAAAAAGGCACATATTTACACCAGGCCCCAGGAACTACTATGATAGTAGTGAGAGTAGAGACAGTATAAGCCCAATATTCATAGTTGAAACTACATGAATTAAACAAATGACAATGCATCATACCCCTCCGGCCTCCAGTCCTCCACCTATTGTCGCGCAAACTATCTATACTCCCCCAAAAAAAGCTTTCAATTGTACCAAAAAAATCTTCATTACGCATAACTAATTGGTGAAATAGTACATTCTGATATTATCATTGGTTCAAAATTCTCTATCGAGCGAACCATTGAACAACCCTATTTGAAAACTATTAAGCGACCTTTTCATTGGATTTTACCTTAATTTAGCTATAGTCAATTTGGCGGGAGATCTCAGAAATACGCCTGCACTTTCATCCTTCTTGAGCACGACTTGCGTGTTGTGGGCTGTAGCACTCTCTATAGATATACAGTGCATATGCACCATGTATATAACAGGCAACCGTATGCATGTGAGTCCAGTCTCAACTCTCAAGCCTATAAACCACAACACACAACCTGCGTAAGCGCATAAAAAACGGTGCGATCTGAAGCAAGTATGGAGGTAGACTCACACATCCGTTCAGACACGGCGCAGGTGGGGTTTCCGTCACATACCGATGTTGCGGTGATTGAGACCATCCGCAAGCAATTCGATTTCTACTTCAGTGATGCAAACCTGGCGAAGGATCAGTTCCTCAGGCAACACATCGTGCGCTCGTTGCACGCCAAGAAAACACACAGGCGACTCGCAGTGCAAGGTACGTCAAGTATTTTGATGTGTGTTGTAACTATAGCCCTCCGAGAGCCTAAGAACAGATGGGGTGTGATCCCTGTGCAGGGCATAAAACATCTACAAGCCTGGGCTGTTTATATGCATTCCAATGCTGTGTATACAGTATTGGCCTTATACAAGTTCTCGACTACCCCGTACTTATTTATACATGATTTGCATTAGTTAATGTGCTTTGTACATGGGGTGTGCACCCGCCATTTGCAGGAGACCTGTCGAAAAATGGCGAAGAAATTGATGTTCGGGGGATGATTGATCTGCGAGTGGTTGCCGAGTTCAACCGGATCAGGCAACTGACAAGAGATTTCAGGTGTGTATGCGAGAATACTAGGATGTGTGCAGCAGTTGCTGAGATTGAGATGTCGGTGTTCTGGTACCGTAGATGACTCGTATTTGCGCAGATAATTGACAATTAGGAGGAACTATACCCTGGGTTGGTTGTTGTGAGGTTCAATGTACGCATTATTAGAAATTGCATGTTTATGACGCCCATCTAGTGAGTTTGTGAGCCGTTTGGTTAATTACGGCGCACACTGAGCGTGTATGTAAGCTATGTACTCTGTATAGGTTCACTCAAGAGTTGGTATAGAGATATGCTAATT